CCTGCATGAACTGTCGCTTGGCTGGAGAGCAGATTCCTCAATGGCGTTATGACGATTCCTACAAGGTCCCCTGTTTACTGCCCCCTAATGACATTCTTTCTGCATTTCATGGTAGTTCTTTCCACTCCTTTCCAGTACAAGCACTGCATAGTTCTTTGGTGTGTGGCTTGCTCGAGATATTTTAATGCTTCTGACCTAAGGGGTGTCTTCTGCATTTCTGTGTGGAGACCCATCATGCACAGAAGATACTGACAGTAGGCAATTAGCCCTAATGATACTGCTGTATTGGAAGAACATCTGTGAGTTCTGTGATGACAACAGCAGGAGATATTTTTATCGAGTGCTTACACTGTGATTCAGGCTGTTTTATAGACTACTGACTTAGATACTTTTAGTATCTAAAAGGAAAATTGCATGCTACCATAGGCTTTTCACCCATAAATCTTAATGTAATCTGTCATTTGCCTGCTTTAATATGACATGCTRTTGAAATGACAGCCATGAGATCAGATTCTTTCCACATCTTGCAGAAAATAAGCTGTGAATTTTGGTCCAATGAATTTTCAGTCTTTCTGTAGTCAGATGGGACTACGCACCTTTTTTCATCTTATTTTTTTTTCTGCCTCTGTGGTTCCAGAAAATAAACTGAGCAGTTGGATCCAGCAGTCCCAGATAAACCTAGAATTTTTAAAAAACTTGCACTGAAATCAGCTTAGAATTTCTTTACAGTCTATTTATTTCCTTTATTGCAGTCCTTACTGAAAGACTGGCACTCAGATAAGCAGTGGTTAATATAATTTAATCAGGGACAGAACTTTTTAGCTGTCAGAAGAAATTATCTGATGTTTTTATGCATCCTGTCTTCTGACTATATTCTTGTTATATGCAAAATCTGTTTGTATTAAAAGCAAATGACCTATTGTCTTAAAAATCAAACACCCATATTTCCTAACTGTAGTGAACATAGGATTTAATTCAGAAAAAATATTCCTTAAATTGAGTTTTCTAACAACAGTGGTAGGAAGAGAACTTACACCAGTATTTTTCAAATATTGAGAATGTGTTTTTATCAAGTGCTATGGATTTCTGGCTAAGTCTATTTTATGCTGAAATCTTCAGCATTTATGGTTGATTTCTTTCAGTGGACCCTGAAGAATTCTGCTTTTAAGTCTTCTTGTCCTTCTCTTGGAAAGGGATGTAAATATATATCTACCAGATACCTCAGTCTTACTGATCTTTGAGTCAGAGAAGTGATTAACTACACAGAGAGTTGAGRGACCTTTGTTTCTTATCTTGGCCAATAACTTAGAAGCTTGAAATGAACCAAGGAATAAGCATTTTGCACCCCTGTTTCCTTCCATAGGCCCATTTTTACCTGAAGATTCCATTATTTATGTCTTTAGTCTATTCTTTGTGCCTCTATTCAATTTTTTATTAGAACTGAGARAACAGAGGATGTCTGAAGTTTATGCAGATACCATTGTCATACAGAGGTCTTTAAGTTGGTGCATATGTTCTTTGTGTATTGCAATATTTGGTKGCAAGAGGAAAAGAAGCACTATCAGGGAATATATAAACAGGAGGTGTAATACATTCATGTTTATCTATAGGACACTTAATTAAATTCTCATTGTTGGTATAGGAACCTGTAGKACTATCTCTAGTTTTAGTTCATATTCATCGCAGAACTGATGGAAATAAAACTCACGTTGACATTCAAGTGATGGAAAATGGTAAAATCAGGAAACTGGAAAAATTAGGTTTATACTTGCCTGGTCACTGGTGATGATTTAAACAGGTGTAGTGTTTTTCATGAGGTCTTTTCCTGCAGAAGGGAAAAATACAACATGCTGTTTAGTTACCTATAAATGTTTCCTTTGCTGTTCTACAGAACAAGCAATTCATGGTGCTTAGAGAAGCATGTGTTTAACGATACAGCATTCTTTTCTTGAGCAGTCACTGAAAGCAAATTTGGACACAACAGCCCATTTTAAAATCTGTCAGTGAGTTGTCAGTACAAAGACTGAGATTTATCGCTTTCAGGAGTGGACAAGATAGAAAATGTTTGATGTTCTCATTCAGTATTGAACATTTACGTAAAGTAAGTAGTATTCCCAATGCCAGTAGACTTTAAAAGTATTTCTCACAGAAACAGAAGATCATTAGAAGCTCACTGTTTGAATTGGCACACATTTAATCCTTCTGCTAGGCTAACTCTAACGCATATGTCCAGCAGTGGTGGTAACTCCGCTCCCAGTTAAACACTTGTGCTTGAGATTGTTAAGATTTCATATGCCTCCAGAATATTCAATATTACTGCCTCCTCACAAAAAAAAAAGAATCAAAAAGTGAATATTATTTGAATGTTTTTTCAATTATTTGAGAATATAATTTTCTYCTTTCTTGGTAAGTTTTTTTTACTCCTAAGACAAACACTTTGTGGAGTCATGGGTCAGAATTTGCTTTGTATTRCACAGGATAGAGTTGAGTGCTTCTGCTGCAAGAAGTGTATCTTGGTTGGGACTCATTCCTTTAGGAGAATGAGCTGAATCTAAAGTTTGTCTTGAAGAAACTAAGAAACAGCTCCAGAGTGCCCTGGTCATTGGGCTATGTAATGATGKTCCTGCTCCTTGCTGTCAGCCCCAGAAGAACTGGGTTSTTTYTAACAGAATATCACTATATTGAGGRATGACCTACTCTGATTCAAGAGCAGTCTGTGTTCATGTGGTTGTGRTACTCTACTGAGTTGTAGATCTAATTTTTATTTGCTTCAGACCAAAGAGGATATTGAACTCAATTGCCCTGTTTCTTGTGGGTGCACTGCATCTGCTGCACTGCTGTCTRTGCTTTCAAAAGTTATGGCAGTGTTTTGGGAGATTTGTTTACAGCAGAGTTGTGTTATTCCTCACAACTCTCAAGGGGTCTAACACAGGCTGTGCAAACCAARCTTGTGGAATTGAGGGAAGCCTGCTGAGAACAGCAGCTAAAGCCGCTGTATTCCAGCATTACCAGAAGYAAAATGTCAGGCAGGCGCTGAGGACTTCAATATGAAAAAGTAGACAAGTGTGGACTGCAGGAAGTCAAACAGATACTGTCTAAATGTCATATGGATTTAGGTCCCTAATATTCATCTAAATCCTTAATTTTATCTGTGCCTGGATGTTTTAGATGTTGCTYGTGGATAAGGGCAGTAATTAAACTGGCTTATCCCGAAATCCTGGTTTGAAACATTTGCAACTTCTGAATAAGCTGTTGATTAAGAAAAACAYTTCTGACAACTGATTAACTTACTCCAATATTACTTATATTTTCCTTGTTGTGGAAAATGATTGTAGAATTTGTCATCTCACCCAGGCTCTTACAATAGACAGAGCAACCACTTTATTCTCATCCTGAGCTGTCTGTTTCWGATGTTCAGATAGATCCAGCATCTTTAAATTTACCATCCTGCTTGCTAGATAAACCTAGTGTTAGGACTGTGTTGAGACTGAATCACTGGAATAGGAGGAAGGTTATCAAGTGAGGTGCTGCTAGCAGCTCACACCATACCATGCATTTTCAGCATTAATGTCTTTGAACAGTGGGAATAGGAAAAAAAGTCAAATGGGACACTACACTGGATTAGTCTCAAAGTGGTCAGATGACCAGCAGGGATGCTTAGCAGTGTCAGAAAAGAGAKATACAACTTCACAAATGCAGTTTTCTTAGTTTCTGCTCTCTGTAGGTGGTCTGCAGTGTCTAGTAACGAGGGGTATCAGGATAATTCGAATATCAGCAAGGAAAGTTTCCTTCCAAATAGTCATTGTACTATGCTGCAAATACCTACAGTGTTCTGAGTCAAGGCAGTAAATGGGCAGTGAGGTTGTGGGGTGGTAYAAATCCAGTCTCTCTGCAGCAATTCCTTAAGAAATAGTTCAATTTCCTTTTGTGCCAGTCAGTCTGATAAGGTGCTCTTTATAGAAAGGCGCGTGTGGCAGAACCAGCCAAAGGGATAACCCACAGAGACTGGCATTTCCCAGACTAATATKATTTATGTCGTAGACCTCAGTCTCTTGAGGTTCTTTGGGGAGAGGCTGTCAGGGTAATGGATGCATTTTACTGCTGTGTCTTGTCTTGACCAACTTTGATGTGATTGATCTTCCTGACAAAGAGGATAAACTATTAGTCATCCTTTGGGAACACACTGTCCAGAATTAATAATCCTATCATCCAGCTTCACCTTATCACAAGGAAAAATTTATTTTTTAGTCMGTTCCTAATAAAGGGGCATTGACTTCATAACCGTTTCAATCTTGCTGTTAAAGATTTATCTCRAATTTTGTTTTTGTTTTCCTTTAAAAAGTATGACATTTCTCCAGTATATGAGATCACAGTCTTAATGGAGTTGGGTTTAAAAAATATAAAATACATACTTAGGCTTTCTCAAGGGTTTGAATTTTTTTTACTTTGTGCAGCTCAATAGAATCCAGAAAATAGTTTTTCTCCATTTTTTTGTATTTCATTCATAGAACAGAAAATATGATTTGTAAACTCTGCTGTGAATAGAATACTGTGTTAATTTATAATTTTATAAAGTACTTAAAAAAATCAGACAGCATTATTGTGCCTAGTAAGTCTTCTATTGTCACTTAAAACAAAGATTGTAATAATACCTTGATCCCTTAATAAAAGAACCAAGAATATGGAGCTCTTGAGTAATTAGTAATGGATTATTTTTAAATGTAAAGTAATCTGTATTTAGCCTTATTCCTTAAGTTTATTATTATTTTACTTCTTTTTTTTTCCAAATGAAATGCCTATCCAACTTGCAGTTCATTAGAAATGTTTAGAAATTTCAATGAAGTTAYAAGTCTGTGGATATTAGGTAAAGTTAATTAAATTATGTGGATAGCACTAGACTGTCCACAAGAAAGAAAGTTTACATACAACATGCTGCTGTTGAAAACAAAAAAGTTACTGATGGTCACTAGAATGATAGAACTGCTTTTTTTGTTTTTCAGGTCTTAGGAACAGATGAGGATAATATGGGGGATGGTTGCTCTCAGAAACTGGCTTCTGCCAAGTTCTTTCGACTTTTGCTCCTGATACTGATTCCGTGCATCTGTGCCCTTATCCTTTTGCTGGTGATCCTGCTTACCTTTGTAGGTGAGTGCTTTTTAAGTTCAGGARGCACTTTTAAAATTAAGGAGACTAAAACCAAAACCACATTCCCAAGTGCTAATGTAATTGTGGACATTAGACATGTATCTTAGCACACCTACGTAACAAACTAATCTACCTAGGGGCTGTTTGTTGCAGAGAAATAAATATGCTATTTGGATTTATACCTTTAAGGCATATTTAAAATATCCATGAGGAAACCTTTTCTGATTTTCTCAAGGCAGACTCTTGAGGAACATGCTAACTTGAMCATGTAGAGTGTAGCTAGTTTTCTGCAGTCAGTTTGTAAGTACAAAGGATGTTTTTGTTATAACTTTAGGTCGCTGTCAGTGGAATAGAATATTTATCTCTTTATCTCACACATTCATATATAAATCTTATTTTCAGGTGAAATTTAATTTATAAACAGCCACAAATCTTTCTGAACAGCATACAAAATATTCCTGTTTAGCTAAGAAAAATTATGTTCATTTTTTCTGCATCCAAAATACGTATCAAATGTTTTGTGGAAACTGATTCAAAGTATASTAGATTTCATAACTGCTTAGTCTGTTAAGTAATTTTGTGTGTATGTTTTACATAATTAAAGTGTGCTAATTTATTATCATAAATTTTTTAAAAAGTCTCTCCTTTGTTACCTTTATAGAAGCTGACATATCATTACATTGCTTTAACTACAAATGAAAAAGACAATAATACTAGGTAAAAGCATTATTTTTTCAGGAAAAAAAGTTTAATAAAAATGCTTTCAGTGCTGAGTGTTTTTGGGATTTTTGCCTTTTTGGTGGTGAGAATATTTTCTAGTTGATCTTCCTCAAGTACTTCAGAAGCAYATCTGAAACAAGTGGGGTAACGTGTCCAGTATCCAGATATACAGATATAAATCTTTTTTCCTATTTTAAACACTCCAATTTCAAGACACATCAAACAGTYGATCAGTTAGCAAGCATAGGAGGAAACTAAACATGTCTCAATAACCCTGTCAAAATCAGGGCAACTTAAATCTGTTTTCTCAATTCAGTCTGGGAAGGATACAAGAAGTCATTGTAGGCCTGTTCTTTTCATTTGGCTTAAGTTAAGGAAGTAAAAAAAAAAAAAATCCAAAGCTAGTGAATGTTATGATTGACAAGCAAGTCTCGGGTTGTATCTCTGACCTAAGAACAGTATGAAATGGATTAAGATCAAGTGAGTCTTGCAATTAGGAAATATGAAGCCATTAAATTTGCTTTCCTTATGTTTAGCATTCCATTTGTATCTCTCATATCCTCTGCCCTAGATTTTCATTCTTTGGTGAGAAAGCAGATAAAAAGGCAGGTGTATTTACATCAGCTGCATCTCCTCCTGAGGCATATATCGACCTGTCATTAAAATGTATGAAATCCTCYGGGAAATGGAGCCTGTTCTCATCCTACTTATGTAGTAAAAATTGTGACTATATTTCCTCTTAAGTCAATGTAATTACTGTAGGGTAAAAAATAAGGCTTGCCCCAAGTCTAAAACTGGCATTTTTTGAATTAACATATTATAATTTAGTATTCTTCTCAGAAGCTTTCATTTTCTATGCAGTAATAGCCTAGAAGCCAGCATACTTGCWGACAAGAATCAGAATTCTGTGGCCATCTTTAAAGGGTGTGCAAGATAATATAGTCTGKTTTTATTTATTGAGAGTACACTATACACAGAATAGTACTTCATATTAATTTCAGATTGATAATAACTGAATTCTAATATTGATATGAAATCTTAAAGTGTAAGTTGATGGTACTGACTGGCTAATAGAAATCATTTAATATAAAAAAAATATGTTTTTACTTTTTGCACAAAACAGAGCAATTAAATTCTGTGGCTGTCATTCTAGTGTCTTTCACTGGTGCATAAAACAGAAATAGAAAACTCCTGGATATAGCTTAGAACCTTATGAACTTTTTTGATTTGACTTTTATAATTAAGTAATCAGGAAATTAAACCTTTTATGTTTTGCCTGAAAATACTTTATTTCCTGTGGTAAGTTTTTAGGTAATTATTCTTTTCCTTCTGTAATTTTTTTTTAATTAAGGCATATTCACATGAAAAAATGTGCATGCACCTGAGAAGTTTTCTGTGCATTTTCCTTCCACCTCTTTTGTTGTCTGCACATCATTGCAAGCTCTGATGTTGAAGAAACAGAAAAGTTGGTGTGGGTGGAAGGAGACAGAAAGAGCAGTACAGCTGTATTGTATAATGGAGAATATCCTACTTGAGGTGTCATGGGGCCCTGTTTTCATAATATGACATTAGTCAATCTTTCAAAAATTACTTACTATCCAAGTATTCAAGACTCAAAGCCCTGAAAAATTAATTCTGTTAGAACTGTGTATAAAGGAAAGACAAAACAAATTGTCMGTAGAGATGCACATTATTTTGACGAAAGACACAAGATGTGTGCTTTTCAGCCTGTAGAACAAAGCTTTGTAAGGAATGAATGTTCTTTTCCTTGCAGAGAGAAAGTGTTCTAAACCACAAGAAACAGTCTTTAAAAACCCCTTTGCATGCTAATAAGTATTCTACCAAATTAAAAAAAAAAAAATTGATTGTACATTAATTGGTTCCCGTTGCAATTATTTATCGGGGAAGGCAAAATGTTTTATAATTACCGTGAAAGAAAGAAAAGAAAGGAAGGAAGAAAGGAAGGAAGGAAGGAAGGAAGGAAGGAAGGAAGGAAGGAAGGAAGGAAGGAAGGAAGGAAGGAAGGAAGGAAGGAAGGAAGAAAGAAAGAAAGAAAGAAAGAAAGAAAGAAAGAAAGGAAGGAAGGAAGGAAGGAAGGAAGGAAGGAAGGAAGAAAGAAAGAAAGAAAGAAAGAAAGAAAGAAAGAAAGAAAGAAAGAAAGAAAGAAGGAAAAAGGAAAGAAAGAGAGAGAAAGGAATAAGGAAAGAAAGAAGAAAGAGAGCAGGATAAAGTTTATTACTGCAGTTCACCTGATGTGCAGTTTTTTGTTTGGTGTACTATGGGACTGTCACACTATCAGTGATGTCCCCATTTCTCCAGGGTGCAGAGGTACAGACCCTGCAGGAGGAATCTCAGTTCATAAGTGCTGGCCAGYTGTAGTAGTGAACCAGTGTTTTATTTCCTTTGCAACTGCCTCATCCATTACCCATACTTTGGTAGGYTGCTTTGCTCTGTTTCATTAGCTTTTAAACAGACTTGGTCTTTTTGAGCTTTCCTACTCTGAACTGCTAGAAATCTGCTACAGTTTATACTGMCAAAATCTTGATTTAGTAGCTTGARTAGTGTGACTATTTCTTAGATCTCTTAACTGTCCATTTTTAAGCAAACTGTCCAAAAGATGAGTTGAAGTAAAAAACAAGTATTTGGGGATCYCAGTGAAAGAAGTAAATGGCCTTATGGCAGTGATGGACATGGCTATTACTTCTTGTTCCAGAAAAAGAATGAAATATATCTGAATGAGAAGAGGATAGAATGCAGTGGGTAGCTTCAATATYTTACTTTGCAGTATTTATTTGACCATTGTATTAAACCAAAGAGGGATTTCAAATGTCTTTCAAGAGTTTACCTGTCTTGTAAGGTATTGCCTTCTATTCTGCTSTGTGATATATATAGCTAATAATTATAACTTTAATTTTAAATCATTATTAATAGCTCTTTGGGACTAATGTTTTACAGACTTTTCTATTTTTATGCTGAGTGGAGGAGAAGAGACAAGTCTAGGGAGGAGGAAAGAGAATGTGAAAAAAAGCCTTAAGCTATTCTTGAGTTATGGAAAAATACTATGCACTTTTCCAAAGGAGTTAAAAAAGCTCGTCATAACTTTCCAAAAACTGCAAGAAAAGCTAGCAAAGTTTGAAACTTGAAACAAAGTAGGCTTCTGAATTATAGAGATCCGGTGCTTTGTCTGGACACAAATATCTGGCATCCAAATAAAGCTACATAAGTGAGCACAGTTTCTGAGCACAACCACTCACTCTTCCTTAGACTTTAGCAAGTCATATTAATACTGGTCTCTATTTGTGAAACTGCAGCWGATTCATGCTTCCTACTTGGTCTGACCAGAGGACTCAAAAAAAAAAATTGCTACTTGAATTATTTGCAGRTAGGAGGTTTTTAGTTGCTTCTGTAAAATACACAAGTAAATTCTTCCAAACCCCAATGATACAAATGAACATTTGCTGGTAGAAAACCAGAAACCGTAACATTTATATTTATATACAGTTCCTCCGGGCTTGTCCAGTAGAATTAGACATAACGATTTACTCACAGCTGGTGACATTGGAGCCAAAACAATCCAAGYTGGATAAATGGGGATATGGTAAATTTCAAATGGTAACTGTTTCATTGAACTCAKTATTTCAGAAATTTCACAAGCTTTTCTTGCTGTTGCATTTGCAATATAGGTTACTCACTGAAGAAGAGAATGCCGACATTGTCTCTTCTCAGCCTTTCTTCCTGCCTATAAACTTTCCAACCTGCAGTCACTTAAGACTGCAACTGGAAATTGGATTCTTCTGGCATTTTTAGTTACTTGTAGCTGTGATWAATAAAAAATTCCTCCCACCCAGTCCTTGTATTTCAGACCARGCAACTGATTTATTCTAGCTGCAGCAGGCATGAAGAAGTGAGAAAAGGAATTCAGTAACGGGAATGGGCTCAGGATCCCTCTTGGGCTGTGTGTTGTGCTGGAGTTGGCAGAGGGGTGGGTTTGTCTAGGGAAAGAGCCTGGTGTGGTGGGGGTGTATAAGCTCTGACTGAGAGGTGATGGTGCAACCAGCCATTCTGGTAAATGCAACAGCCAAASTGAAAAAGAAGGCTAGGAGAGATGGTGGTGGGTGTTGTGTGAACTTAGGAATCATAGAATCCTAGAAAGATCATCTAATTCCAATCCCTCTGCCATGTGGGATTCATCTCTACCAAGTACATAATAAAGGATCAAATTAATACAAAGAAAAGTTATTAAAATTATCAACTGTTGCCAAGGTACTTGGAAACATTTGGGAGACTTCATGTTTTGAGGATTCCTTTTCATTTTTCTCAATATAATCAAGTGTAGATGAACTGTGTTTATTATGATCGTTAAACTCTTGCATGACTAGCCAGTGGCAAAAATTGCTTTTGCTGTTTATTGAAACCTTTGTCTATTGTGATACATAGTGGTGCTTCTCTTCTAGCATTAAGTATGACTCTAATATATTTGGTTAAAAAATTTGAGATAATTTTTGTGGTTTTTATTAGAGAMAACTAAGTTATATGTTCTATATATGTTTAAGATGTCTTCTTTATCACTTGGATTAATAGTTAAAGATAGATTCTTACTATGTAGCCTAAATTCCTGATGCTTGTAAGATACATCTGCTTAYTGTTATGCAGCTCTTTTGATCTGTGAATTATAATTACTCACAATTATTCAACACATACAACTAAACAAAGTCTGGTTTTGTCTGTATTATAATAAATGATCAAAAAATAAAGCCAGCAAGTGATTAAAGTCTTAGATAAAAACTATATTTAAAATCSAGTATCAGAGAAGAATGACAAAGAACTCATGGGCCTATCTTTAGCAGTGGTACTTAAATTATGTGATCCTATATAGAGAAAACAGTACCTCTTTCAATTTTGCAAATTAGTGAATGTGAAATATATTTAAAACATATTGGTTCCCTTGAAGCTTCAGAATTGAATTTCTGAAGATGGTGGTACTATGTTATCAAGAGATCATGTGATTTAAAAGGAGAAAAAAATAGTATTGTYTGTCTTGTTAACACAGTGATAGAATGAATGCATGCTGGAGCTCCATGAAATTGCACTCTGTAGTTTTAAACATGTGAGTATTCAGTGACWTACTATATATTAGATTAAAACATTTTAAGCTCACGGAAGCATCTGTTTCTCTATTTATCCTACAGCAGCCATAGCTTGTATTTTATATGCTACTGTTATTTTGTAGCTACATAAAATTCTTAAATTTAGTTCTCTTTAATATTAGCTTTGAAATAAAAATACTTTTAAAATTTGTGTCATATTTGTTATGAACTTTCAAAAACTAATTGGTAACACTTATTCTTCCAGGTGATGGTAATTTTGGTGGTTTTTTTCCTCTCTTCCAGGAGTATTAGAAAAAACATGCTTTTTTTCAAATGGAAGTGAGGGCCTCACAGCTAATGGTGACTTTGAGACCTCTGATGATCTTTTGCCAAACATGGTTGAAAATAGTTCCAAGACTGGTCCCACAGTGGATCTCAGCACACAGCCCTCTTCCTGGACCACCACGCCTTTATCCCACGCTGACCAAATGAACAAGGACTCTGATACACTTAGAGAGTCTTTCCAGGAAAATTCTTTTGCTCTCCCAACRCAAGCCACAGCACTCAATCATCAGCCTGCCTATGACACTGCTTTGCCAGAGGGCTCTGAAAACAACACCCAGTTGTTTGCCACTGCAGAGGAGGTGACTTGGTGGTCTACAGATGCTTCTTTTAACAACACAGAGAGGATGACCACTCTGCCAATATTAAGTCCTACCCGTCCATCTGCATCACAAAACATGGGTCATAAAAAAAGTAAGTTTATATTTTATTTGGCTCCATAATTCTGACTCAAAAACTACCGAGCATGCTGTTGGCATGCTTCCCAATGCGTTCCTGTGAGATGTAAGGAATGTGTCCCTTTTGATAATTTATTTTGTTTACATTTTGTGTACATTCCACGTTGCAATCAACTGGTTTYTTATCAGAACATTTGTTCAACCTGTTAAGGAAGGTGCAGTAAATTCTCTCAATATGAAAGCTTACAATACATTCTTCAATTGGTGACAATCAGGCTTTCCAAGGCTGGTAATGAGTTGCTGTAGATTGTATATTCAGTATTTCTTTAAAACTATGTATGTGGCAAGTACATTCCTGATCTTGGGATGTAATCACAGTTACAAATTTTTCTGTCTTACTGGATAAATTCTTCTCTAATTTGAAGCAGTTTTTCTATGTAGCAATAAAGTTCCAGTGGCATTTTGGAGAGAGYATAACAATAGTTAACTGGGATAGTAACTTTAAAAAATTTGTTTGATTATAAAGGTAGGTACATTTTACTAATGTTATAGTAAATATTATTGATTCATCATGTCAGTGGTAGTGAAGGATTCCCTGATACTGCTTTGCTAACAACTGAAACACACGGGTACCATATTAAAATGAATCTGTTTCTCTGGAACTGCTTATCATTCCTTCTTTATTAATCCCACCAGAGCACAAAGCAAAACTTATTCCAGGTCAGAGAGAAAACTTAATGTAAGTCACTGATTTGTCAGCATTTTCTTCTCTCCCCTAGATGGTAGTGACTTCATAGGACATTTGAATGGTGCAGGCTTTTTGTAGGTTCTGTTTGCTAAATGATTTTTTGTACAGATTTCTGTCTTTTTGTCCCTCTGTAAGTGTATATAAATGCACACTTGAATCCTATTAGTGGTTCATTTATTTACTTCTTTTGGCAACTTGGCCAATTACCGCTTTTGGTAACTGGGCCAATTATCACTGTGTAAAGTAACAGCAAGAGCAGAGTGTGCTACAGTACCAATATTTTCATCATTGTATTTGAGATACCCAAAATTCCAGGAAATACAGATGAWATAGTGTAAAGCCCTTTTGCCTTTTCTTATCACATTGGAATGAACTCTTTTGAGATGCATGTAATATGCAGATGTAATATGCAGATGTGTATGTATGGGGCATGATATTTTTCCCTACTACAATATTAATGCAGGGACAGCGCTACAGTGACTCAGTTCTGGATTTCTAATCTTGTAAGKATTTGGGGTTTTGTATTATACAGAGAAGCACTTTTAGGACTTTCCAAGTATGCGTTCCATTTTGGTAAGTGCAGTTCATTCCAACAGCAGTATGACTGCGTGTATATTTGATAGGCGTGATTACTTGGAATTGTGTTGTGGCATAGTTTTTTTCTTTGTAAAGAGAAAAGGATAAAAGATTTTCAAAGACAAAGTAGAAATACCACACGTTTCTTAAAAAAACCCCTCCACAACAACAACAAAAATCCCATCCCAGACTGAGGTACTTTGCCCTTCAGAAACATCAGGAGATGGTTTGTTACTAATCAATTAACTCATAGTTTTTGATTCCATTTTCAAGTATTTTGTTTGTCTGTATTCATGGGGACATTGTCTTAATTCTGTGTGTAGATACATTAAAAAAGAAACTTTATTTTAAGAATCCAGAAGAATTTGATCTCGTAATAACTGTGTATTCCCATGGCTCCAAGGCATGGAGGATTAGAAAACAGGAGATTTTGAGTAGTACACTGAGCTACTCACTTCCTTTCTTGTCCTGGCCTTTGCAAATTAACTTCTTATATTTGTCCTTACATTTTTAGTCTCTTTGATCTCTCTTTTTCCACTAAGCTTGCATTTTTGGAGAGAACCCTAAGGTAACACAGAACATGATCTGATGTTCACAGGAAGTTCTTACATATTCTGATGTGGAGGATGATGAGATATAACTGGGAGATGAGATATAAATAAATTTTGGAACAGTGAAATGGAAATATTCCRTTGGAGTAAAAATTCTTTTTTTTGGGGAACAAGTAAAACTTAAAGACACATGGGATTGGTGGTAGTAGATCAAATTATTTCTCTCTTACTTGATGTCTGAATCCCCTGTGAACATTAGCACGTCTGAAGAAGAGTAAGCTAGGGCTGGCATACCGAGGCACTTGAACACTCTGTAGCAGACTCCAGTGATCTGCAGTGAGTCCTGATGGGTGTTTGCTCATTCTTCCATGAATTGACGTAATCACTTCTGAACCCCTGTAAAGCAGAGGTTTGAGCTTTTTAAGCATGTCTTGTAAGGAAATTAACCTCTAAATGAAGTGTGAGGCTGATGTGCCATCATCATCAATGCATGCTAGCAGATCATCCAKCAGTACAAGTTTCATCTGGTTCAAAAATGGGGAGGTGCATGCATTTCTGGTAATTTAGTAAACATGYGTAACTTGGACTTTATGCTGATTTTATGCAGTATGTTAAAAGATTAATGATATGTCATGTAACATAGTGAGTGCCAATTCAAAGWCAGCCAGAGAAAAATCTCCTGAACACATTTGGACTGGCATTCATGTGGCTGTTATGTTTTTGGTCTGATGCTGATATCCCTAGTGCTGTCTTTGCTTTACCAGTCAACCACAGTTCAATATAAGACATTAATAAGAGAAATGATAAATACTGTGACCATATGGTGTTCAGTCAAGACTTTAGCCCAAGGAAGATATTGCTGAATTAGTAACTGGAGGGTAATGAAATCTGGCACATATGACATCAATTATTTAAGAAGTCCTTSAAGCAAAAGGAAGTTCTTTGGCAAAAATTCCAGCAAAGAATGGATTAGTGGGTAAATGGGAATGAATGATACAGTAAGAAGGAGATGAAGTAGTTTATTTCCATTTTACAAGGGAAGCAATGCCTCACAAATCTATTAGAAAGTTCTTTGAAAGAGACACTGAAAATGCTGTTTAATTTAACATACTTGGCTTTTCAAAAGGCTGTTAACACGAGTCTTCACCAAGAAGTCTTACAGACACTCTTCTCACAGATTATGTGTTCATTAAAAAACAGAAGGAAAAATAAGAATGAATGGCTAGGCTCCAGAGTGAAGAAAGCAGCTGATGGAGTCTTACAGACAGTGTTTTCTGATCAGGGGAAATGGTGAATGACCAAGTAATAACATTTCTGCTAAAACAGATTTAGCCGCCTAAAATTAATAGCTGGGAATCACAWAAAAGTCTCATAGTGGAGGCAGTGACTGGTAAAATGTTTAAATTACTTTGTGCCAGTAGATGCTGGAGAGTGGGGAACAATGCTAACTCTAATACAATGCTGGACTCTCAGCGAGCGTTGCCACCAAAAGAAGGACCCAATGGGCTGCTGCAGTCGGTGGTCTGGTTCCATGAGAGCCACCAACGTGAAGTTTACAAAGAACAAAATGAAAAATCTTGCTACATCATTGTAACTTCAGAAAGATAACAGTAGAATTGGAAAAGGCAAATAGCAGGCAACCAGACCAGTAGACATGGAAAGACTTAGATGTGGGGAGGCACTTAATAGAAGGAAGACACTGTTTTCCTTCTGGAAAACAGCTGGCTTATGAATAAGTGGTTGTGGTAGATAGTCAGACCATTTTGAGTGTCTAGGTGGAATAGGACAGTTAGTCACTGTTTTTCATTATATGAGGAGTTGCCTTTTTTGTTTGTTTTGCCTATCATGCAGTAAGCTAAAAAAAAAAAAAAAAAAAGACCTCATGGAACTTATTGCCACAGGATGATGGGAAAACCAGAAAGTATGGAAATGCTTGGAGAACCTGGTGAGGGCTTGGTCTGCTGGGGCTTGTAAAAACAATAGTCCACTGGCAGCTTCTGACTTGTGAAGGTTCAAGATTTTATGTTGCCAGAAGTTGTTGTTATAGTCCTAGATAGTTGTTCCTTATATKTGCCCAATATTATCAGAATTTTTGTTGAATATATAATGCTGGTCCTTATCAAAGGTCAGCTTCTGGGGTAAATGTGTCCTATGTTACCTTCCTGTTGGAAAGTAAGTGAAGGAATACATTTTTCCTGTTGAGGGATTTGAGTTTGCATGACTTTGTATTTAAGTGACTTTGTATTTTTGGAGGCATGGGCCATGGTCCTAGGTCACAAGCACAACTCATTGGAGAGTTTTCTGATAGCAAAAACATCAGGATAGGAGTCTTAGGTGAACCAMTGGGTTCAGTAGTGTTTATTCATGGGATTTAGAAGTATTTGCAGTAATATTCTGTTCATCTGTCAATCAATGCTTAACAGAAAAAGAACCACATATTAAGTAGTAATTAATGTAAAGAAAAAAGCATGGTTTCCCAAGAAAATATTAATACAATTTTATTGGTACTTTTTCTTTTCTATTTGAAACAAAAGCAGACTGCACTTAGGCAGTAAAGTGGAAGACTTGATTCAAATGAAGCAGACTCCCTSTTTTGTATTGCTGATGATATGGGGAGACAGGAAGAAGGAGAGCAAGTGGGGGCCAATGTCCTTCCTAAAAAAACATCCTGTAAATGAACGGAATATACACTGGGGCAAGAGGTATTAGTATCTGATTATGTTTTTTTCCACTCAGTGGTGTGTATGCATATATAATTTAGTATCTCTTTTATTTTGCGCCGTGTCTCCAACAGAGCTCTCCTAGCAGATAGTCTAGAACCACCCCCTCTGCCATCTCGCAAAAAACGATTCCGTGGAGAACTATGCCGATGGCCGGATTCTAACGTGCAAAGTATCACGGCCAAGGTTGATCTCCAGTCGTGCCCGTGTGTGCGTGTGGCTGCGAGGAGCTGCGAGCGCCCGAGAGCCGGCACAGCCCCGCTCCGGCCCCGCGCCGCCGCCAGAGGGCACCCAGAACGCGGCCGGAGCGGACAGGAGCGGGACAGGAGCGGACAGGAGAGGGGACGGAGCGGGAAAGGAGAGGGGCAGGAGAGGACCCTGGAGCAGGGCCTGGAGCGGGGCAGGAGAGGGGCGGGAGAGA